GCGGGGCGGGGCTGCCTCGCCGGGACTGCGCGGACTGGGCTGGAACTCGGCGGCTCTGAGTCGCCTCCTCGCTGGTTGCTCGCCGAGCTCTCTCCCGCTGGTCCGTTTTCCATCCTGGCCTCCGAGCCACCCACGGAGACTCCGCAGTCGCTTCATTAATTTTCTCGAATTTAATAACAGCGCGTTGGAGACCGGATCAAGGCTGCGAGTGCGATTTTTCAACACAAGCCTGAAATTCCGCAAGGAGCTGACCTTTTAGGTTTCAAAGTCGACAGGATAAAGGGCCAGAGAGAGCGTTGAGGAGGAGTCCTTACTTATTCTTACTGGGGTTCCTGCGTTCAATTGACTTCTCCAACATGGTGCAGTATGAACTAGGCCTGCGGCTGCGTTGCCCACCGGTCATGCCGGGCATCTGAGCTATTGAAATGGGGCTGGTATGACTATAGACATGTGTTGTAAGTGCGCATGTTAGGTTTAGAAGACTTGAGATTTAAAAAAAATGTGAGAGAGCTCATATCTGAGATGCATTGGGTTAAATATATTATTGAAATTAATTTCACCCATTTTTAGCTTTGTTAATTGTGTCTACTGTAAATTTCTAAATTACAAATGCGGCTTGCCCTAAATTGCTACTGCACAGTTCTTCCTTGAAGCATTAGGACAGATTTGACTGGAAAAGATGAGAAGGAAATAGAAAAAACACATCACTGTTAGAATCTGTAACTGATATATCACATTCATTATTTCATCCTCCCCAAAATTGTGTAAAATATTATATTGTAGTTTTAAACATGACTCACAAGGTTTTATGTGGCAATCATTAATATGTAGTTATCGCCTGCAGTGTGGCATACATTGTAAGTAATCAAAGAAAACTCTGGAAGCACAGGTCAACAAATGCTTGCAATAAAATGTAGATGTTGAAACAGGAATATTCTCTACGCTGGAGCAGAGAAGTGCCCGTGTGTATGAGGGACGTCAGAAAGTGTCACAGAAACTGAGGTAGAAGAGTGGGCTCCATAATGAGGAGGAGGAGAGTGAGCTGTGCGAACAGTTGGAAAGACTCACAGAGCATATTCTAGTAGCAGATCATGGGATGTGTGGGGAGGAATGGTAGAGCTGGGATTCATATCCCAGCTTTTGGAACTAAATGTAAGGTTTTTTGCAATTATGCTATTAACTGGTCATAAATATGGTGTGTTAACTAGAACTGGGTAACAACATCAGTATTCCAGTAGTTAACTCCATTAAGGTTTATGTCATACAAGTCACAGTGTGTTTTGGATTGACTGGGCATGGGTGGAGATGTCTGTTCCTTGCACTCATGGAAGAACTAGGCTCCTTCCATCTAGAGGATCCCATGGTCTTAGACTCTTGAGTTTTAGTTCTATCTATAGGCCATCAATAGATGAGGGAAGAGATCTGTGGCTACATTGTCCACAATGTTAGGAGCCAGTCCTGGAAGTGATTTTTATCATATTCTGTTAGCCAGAATTCATGTGTGCAGTCACATGGCACCACCTAAACTGTAGAGTGGCTGGAAAATAAATTGTGCTTAGTAGATAAGGAAACAGATTCATAAATACTCATAACTATGTAAATCTGGTATTACTAAATATTATACACAACCTAGTCTTTCTTATTCAGGAAATAAACCAGTATGAGAGAATATCTTAAAATAGAAGAAAAAAGGCAAAGTAGACTTTGACTCAATGACAAAATAGTGGGTCATAGCTAGTTAAGCATCTAATTTATGCTGGAATATTGTCTTAAATATCCCAGAGAGTAAATTAAAATACCACTATATTATGCTTTGATGTACCATCTCTTTAGATCAACAAACTGAAGTATAGATGTTATTTCTGCATGAGTTCAGAGGCATTTAGTGAGCAAAGAGGCAGAATAGAAAATTGAGCCTTACTTTGATTTCTAATCTGCTGTCCATTGTCTCCAGATTGGTACTTGTCTTTCTTGGAAGTCCAAACTCCTGTGCAATACTACAAAGTTATATAAGAGAATAGCAGGCATATTTTTCCTTTAAGAATTTCTAGTCAAAAAGTTTCAGGATCAACTTTGGAGGTAAAATTTAAGGACAACCCAGGTAGCATTGGAAGGCTATGGAATGAAAAGCTCACAGATGAAAATATATCAGTCTAGAGTAGAAAAGAAGTGAAGTGGGGGAAATGATAGAAAAAATAGGTCAAGGATTTTTTTACTTGCTGTGCAAGGATATAATGTTTACAAGGAAGTGATATACCTAGTAATTTTTGTTTGTTTTGGTTTGGCTTTTTTTGAGACAGGGTCTTGCCTATAGCGCAGGCTAGCCTCAAACTCATGGTGATCCCCTTGTCTCAGCTACCTAGTATTTTTAATTACATACTTAAAACTTTTTGATTCTGGGCTATCTTGTTGATGAAGCTCTGATAAGTACAGAATGGAATGAGTTGGGCCCATAGCTGGATTCTAATTTGTGAAATACAGACTTCTTTTAGACACATGAGTGTTCTTCATGGGCATGAAAGATCTCAGACATTCAGGGTTCCAAGTTCCATATAAAACATGAAAATATCTTAAGAGATATTCTCCCCCCCACTTTTATACCAGATCTTGCTATGTAGTTCAGGCTGGCCTTGAACTCACTATGTAGCGCTGGCTGGCCTCAAACACATGGTGATCCTCCTGTCTCTGCCTCCTGAGTGCTGCAGTTAACAGGCATATACTACCATGCAGAGGAAGATACTGTCTTTTGTATTTCAGTTTGTCTGCTTCATATCCGAATTCTTGTTCAACTTACATAAGAGCATAAGTCAGATGTTCACTAATTTAGGAAAGTATTATGCAAGTTCTTTTATTAGTTGATTACAATAAATTACAGTCTAGCTTATAAATGTCTGTTCAGCCATAATGAAATCATGCATTCAGTGGGAAATTAGAATGTAACCACAATTTATGATATTGCTTTTTTTGCATACAGCATTTTGAAACGTGTCAGACATGAATTTTCTTCCAAAGGGCAGTTAAAACAATTGTTTCCTGTGTGTCTACAGCTATAAAGGAAAGAACAGAGCTGAAGGAAATCTTGGATTAAGACTCCTCTAAAAGGGAAGAGGAAAGACTCTGTAGTCATTGATAACTAAATATAGCTGACATTTGTAAGGCACTTTACAGTTTATAGACTAAACTGGGTATGTGATCTTCATACCTCATGAAAGTGAATTATTTTTGTGTCCACTTTACCATCAAGAAAAGAATGGCTGAAATATATAAAATTATAGGCCTGCCACTATTTACTTATTTATTTAATATTGGGAAGATTCACATATATTACCCTCAGTTTTCTAAATAGTACAATGAGTGAAATTTCTTTATTGGGTAGAAGCGAGGGATAAGAGATATGTTGAAGGTAGCCCCACCCTTCCTGGCTGGCAGCCGCCATCCTTCCAGCACCAGAAGGGCCTGCTTGGGCCCAGACCTAGGGCCGGGTAGCCACGCCTTCCCCTGCCAGGCCGCCACCATCACTCCAGCGCCAGGAAGGGGTGCCCTTGAACCCCTTCCCCCAGACCTTCTGATTGTGCCAGTCTTTGGACCCACTCTGCAGA